TTTTGTCCCAACCCGTGCGGTTCGCTCCTGTATCGGGAAAGGATTTACCTTATCCGAGCAGAGGCTGGGTCTCTCCTGCCTCCGAAGTAGGGTTTTTTCACGCGGTACTTCCCTCTTCCTATTTCCGTTTGCCCACGTCGCGTCGCTTCGATATGGTTTATTTATGAATGCACTCGAACCAAACCACATCCAGGTAGTTAATGCAATATTGAAAGCTGAATACAAACACCGTTTGCATCGATTCTTCCGTCTCTTTTCCTTTATGTCGCTTCTAGACGACCGACCCCGGCCCGCGGCACATGCTTAGCGATGTCCGTTAAAAAATGACGTAGTGTCTCTCACCTGTTGCACGCGGGAATAGAAACGTCCAGCGTTTTACTTAATCCTACAGCTAAAGAGCTCGAGGGAAGACCTTCGTGTTCAGGAACGCGGCTCGTTTAATAATATTCCCCGCAATCTGGCCTGCAATGCATCACGAGCTTTGTCCCCGAGATCTGATTAGCGGAAAAACAGTTTTCTCGAGCCGCGGATGTTTTAATGAAGAATTGTTGAGCCTGATGCTCCTACAAAATCAAGCGACAGGATTTTCGTAATTATCTTATAAATTCTCGCGGATTTAGTAGTAAACAATTTCAATATTCGTGTCACGTATTAAACAATTCTGTTTGCCGTACGAATTAAATGCCGTAAACGTTCAAGCAAATTGTTTATCCATTAATATAATTACATTATAATTTCCATGTATCGTAGAAAATTAGGTTAAACAACAAATAATCTGTTACATTTAATAATGCAGGTAATTGCAGGAGAAAATTAATATCTACCATTTGTCACTTCGCTAATTATTAACAGTGGCCATAATGTTCAACCGTATCGCTGTTTCTACGGTGTCTGTAATTCTCACTCGTCTGCATTTAAAATTCAAAATCGGAATGAAAATCGCGAAACTTTTATCACAAGTCTTCCGGTAAAAAATCGTTTCATCGTCTCTTGCATCTCGTACGAAATGAGCTCCATCAATCGTCTCACGTTCGCCGGTGGAGAAATAGAATCTGGTCGAGAATCAGTTGAAATTGTTGATTCAGGGTGAACGTACAATGGGATTCTGCTTCGCGAGACTGGCAACGGTATCACGTGCCACGTGGTTTCATTAAAATAGATTCGGCACCAAACCACGTCGCATCGCTTTACAGCGACGAATCTTCTCACTGGATGAAGTTAATCCACGAATATTACCTGACAATCATGCCACACCTGACGCCAATCGGCACCCATCATCCGGCCTCGAATCATTCGCACGTTTATTTCAGTTCCAAGGAAAGGAACTATCGTCGTTCTCCGAGGGTAGCTTTATGGTCTCTCTTATCCGCTTCCTTTTACCGTTCCTTTAAGTCAACACGGAATGTTATAGTAGAAGTGCGCACGTGCTTGCCGGGATCTCATCCGCTCCCTTGCCTCCCTTCAATCAGCCTCTTCCATATTTATGCGCGTAGACCGGCGCTACGCGGCGTGCCGCTCCTCATGGAAAATTTTCCTCCCCGTAGCTCAAAACGGACTGCATTATCATAATCTGTTGGAAGGTGCGACACGCAGCACCGCCCCGAGGACTCGGTGGCTTTAACGTAATTATTAATCAGAATCCGAGATGATTACGCAGAGGGGAATAAAGGGAGTCCTCCCTATCTCTTTCCTCCTCGTTTTCTCGTCCGCACTGTGCTCTCGATTACGAACCGGCGTTCGGTATCGGTCGAAGCCATACGTGCATGCAAATTCGCTAGGTTACCGGATTTTTCCAACGAACTCTATTTAGGAAAGAAAGACTATCAAAAGAGATCCCACGGCAATTCATTTAGCTTCATTCACTGTAGGAATATTAAGAGTAGAACCCTGAATATGAACAAGTCGTACAGGATGTTCCATGAAAAGTTGCTAAAAGTAAATGAATGACTCCCTCCGTTTCAACGACCTATAGTGTCGTCCAGCTAATTACTATTTACCGCAATTTTGTTAATGAGGAAGTTCTACAGGTCTCGTAAAAAAATTGACTTCTACGTGAGTTAAATAATTAATTTATGTCAAAACTACACAGTTCTTTTTAAAGAATGAAATAAAGGCATAAGGGAACGTTTTGGTACAATGTATTCATACTGAATTAAAATTGTCATACTTTACCTAAAAAAAACCAATTACATCTTTTCATTAACTGACACATTAGGAAATACATAGACGAATAGCAATTACTTTCAACGACTTATAATAAATTATACCTGTAAGAAGGCGGATTTTTTTGTCGAAAAATGATGATATTGAAAGAACAAAAAACTTTGTAACGTCGTTATAAAATGAAATATACGTATATTGTACAATGAAATAAGGAAGATTTTAGTTTCACGAAATTCTTAAGTGTTCATATATTTGACAGAGTTTACGAAATTTTACGGACTAACGTAAAATTTTATTCCCGGATGCATTCAGTCTTTTTACGGTTTTCCGATTTTGTCCGGTTCACTTGCAACACCCGCCGCTTTTCTATCGCGTTTTGTTGCTTGCCGTTCCTTCTGCTTACATTCCGCGAAAACTTTCCTGAATGAAATTACATCGTGCATCCTCCTCCTCCCTGCTAGGTATCGGGCAAACATATTTCACGAGAACAAAAAGAAAATTCTCTCGCCCCGAAGTTCGTGAGTTTAACATCGGCGAGAAATAAAAATACACGAACGAAACTGGACTTAAAAAGAGAAATGTACAATAAATATAACATTTTAATAAAAAAAATAGCAATAATTTATGAATTGCGATTCAAATACGATTTTATACATACATATGTAGCAATACGCTATCCTCAAATGAAACGGACAGAACCCTGGTTCAAGCCTTTGTAGTATTTTATTTACACGGTAATCCACGCTCAAAGAACCACTCCCCGACAAAGCACTACAATTACGAAGCAGATAAACTATTGACTAATACCGGATGTCAAAGCCAGTTCATTTGTTCATCGCAATTATCTAAATAACGTGTGGACGAAAGTTGAATAATTTCGTGAATCTGCAGCAACGAAATTCACAAATGTGCGCGTAATTATCGGAAACAAGAGACGAGTGGCATCCATGTATACCTGTCTAGTAAGCGCTGAGAAGATTACGTGGCACCGCTGAGCTAATAATGCAGCGACCGATGCAACCTCGTCGTGCCCAAGCCTTTCATTGTTATTATCTTAATACGATAGTGTAACGTCTAGTACCGTCTGACCCGCTCTCAGTTTAACGAGATTAGCATAATACTGCGAAGCCCTTCTCAGAAGTCTGGCACCCCACCTCCTTTCTGTCCAACCAACCACCCCCAATCAGCTTCAACGCGCCGCGTTCGCTACTGACAAGAACTCACCCCCTTCCATTCGCGGGGTTGTTATTCACCTGCTTGCAGAAGTTACCGCGGGACAAGGATAGACGGATAAGCGGTTGGGCTTCGTGCAACGGGAGACACTTCGCACCAGAAGACCAACGCAGAACACGAAGACAGACGTCTAATTATAGTCAATGTTTTTATTGCGTTCCGAAATCGAACGGCAATGATTTCTACCAAAACGACTAGCATTGAAGTTAATAAAGCAATAAGTATTGTTAAGGAATCAAATAGATATTAAATATATTTGATTCTATTTTCTTGGATAGATTTATCGTAAGTTTGTGCGACACAGGAAATGAACGTTATTCACAAGACTTAATTTTTCACATGTAACGTAACATAATTTCCTACTAATACTGTATGTCATAATATAATACCCTGCAACTGAAAAAAAATGCAGTTTTTATGAACTGTAACGCCGGTAAGGAGTTAAAAAATTGGATCAGCTTTAGGTCGGGTAAATATATGTATAATATCGGAGATAAGTTTCGCTGGTATGTTGGGCTCGATACGATCCAATTCGGATTACCCTCGTCACCTGTCACCTTAATTCCCTCTGACCTATTTTAATCCTTACCAAACCGTTTAGATCCTACAAACCTACTAATCTCAACCTATCGAAAAACGTGTCAAGATATTTCGGTTGTCCAAGAATAATTCAGAACGAAATTATATTGTTACTCCATTTGCATCATTAGCGTATACGTACGCTGAATTTTGTTGTCCATTCTTTCTAACGTAAATTAATTTACATATGTATGTACAAATTACTGAAATGTGTATAGAATGCTGAAACATGAAGTTGTTTTTACTTATTGTAATTTTTCTACCTTAAATATAATAAAAAAAATAATTTCGTAATAAAGGTTTTATTTTTATAGTTCCTTATGATGCAAATGGGTTAATCAATGACATAGCAAGCGACACGTATCGTGCCAATTCACATAGCGCTTACACAATTCGGTTATTTACGCAGGAATTTGCATAAACAGTCAAACTTACACGTTTTCCGTAATTTCATTCATTTCTGTAGGTGGTGGGTATAACGCTCCCGACGCGCGATGTGACGCATTTGAAGTATCCCTTCAACTAGAACCAGGGGACACGATGGTAGCCGGGCAAACGTATTTAAGCGGACACGTGGAAATAATACATGCGACGGCATAGGCGAGACTGAAATTCTCCGCGGCGCGCAAATGAAATATATTCTCGGAGTGGCAGCCCATTCCATTGCGTAAATTATTCATGGCTTGCGGGACACTTTGCTAAAATTCGCATGCCGACCATAATGCTAATGAATTTTTCAAAACAGAAACGTGGCTGCAAGAGAAAGTAGAAACCACGCTTCAAAGTGCGTGCGAGTAGCCACATTAATTACATCCCCGATGGATGCTTGGGGATGCGAACTTCACCGAATTTCATAAGATTACATTCCCTTTCTCATGGAAGCCTGGCTACTCTCATATTGACAGCTTAATAATTAATTAACGTTCGGAAGCCATAACTCGGTTAGAGCCTAAATAAATCCTATTGTATTTCTTATGACAGCGTTGTTGATTAAAATGTGTAAAAGGAAAAGGATATGCACGTACCTGGATGCTTCCCCTTTATGAAGGCTGCAGGATGTTACTGAAACAAATACAAAAAATACAAAGATTAATAGATTCCAAAGAGGGAATTAAAATATGTTTGTAAACTCTATCTATAATATTATAATTTAAATAAGTAATGGCTATAATTAATAAAATCATACAACATTTGAATAGCTGTTTGTTGATATCAGATTATTTGAGGTATTAGACACAGTACATATTCTAACTGGCGAACAGGTAGTGTTCCGGATTAAAATTTGGAATATGTTTGACCTGATAAGTGGTTCTTCAGTAAAGTACGGCCCAATGATCTGGAGATCAATCAGGTTGACTGGGCACATGTGATATTTCCTAATAGATAATTATTAAGAGTATCTTACAGTAATTTTAAGCCCTCATTGGTATAAAATTTTGTTACTCAGAACTTGTTACTTTACTGAAATTCGAGGAAAAATATTAGGTATTCTATTTAAAAAATTGTAGATTACCCTCATATCTCGATAAAAAAAACCCTGGGAGCCATGCGACACTTGTTTAACAATTTTTATCGTACAAGTACCTTACGAGGTATTTGAACTCGTCATATAACGTGATTCACTCTATGTTCTATAATATTATGAAGGAAATCTTGCCAGCTCTTATAAATCTTGTAATCCAATTAAGTGGCGACTGACGGTTTCGAGACCTACCCGTAGCCGCACAATTAGAAACCGTGCGATTTAAGGACACCATCCATCAGCGACGCGTTGAACAGGATTTCAGGTATAAAGCTACGTGAAAGCTTCGCAATAAATACAGCCTAGGGTAAAATTTTCATCGCTGCGGTAGAAATCGCGACCGCCGCGTGCCACAAACTCCGTGAAACTTCTAAGAGCACCGCGAACAACTTTTGCCTCGTAGGTATTATCTTTCCACGGTTAAAAACCATTCTTACGTACTGCCGTAATTTAACGTAATAATTGATTGCCGTCGAGAATAATCGCGAGGGCGGAGAACAAAAGCGTCGCAGGTTTAGCCGCCCCGGCGCACGGCGGGTGGCTAAAAACTATGTAGCGCCCGGTGAATCTCGTTCGTCGGCGAAAATGGGACGGCAATTTATTCTGAAACGTCCCAGTCATTAACCTCCAGGACCATGAGCAACTGTACTCCAAGCAATCCCGCGTTGATGGTATTAGTAATTTATCAGCGACGCGTGCGCTCGAAATATCTCCATGTATAACGAGAGATTGATGCTTCCTTTACAAAATATAGCCTCCTTCCTTTCTTTTCACTCATGATCTTATATAAATGATAATTCGTAACAAATTTTGCTCGATATGATAAAGTAATATCCATTCATTGAATAATTAACCTCACGGTATATTGAAAAAAGTTTTCGGTCTCTAAAAATATAACCGGAGAACAAACGGTCGATCGTAGCCACCGAGCAATCTCCCAGGAGATGCACGACACAGAATACAGGATATACTTACATAGCGCGCGTCAAAGTTGCGAGGGCCTTTATTATGCATGCACCGTTTTCCGAAATGCAACCAGACTTGCGTCAGTAGTAGAAGGAAAAGGGTAGTCTCGAAAGTTTCGGGCCCATGCTACTCGTAATGTATGTAAACTGCCGGCGCACTTTGTTAACTTAATCGTGGCACGACACGGAACTTCCAACGATTTAACCCACTATTAGTCTGTTTATGAGAACCGACGGTCGCGATGCATTCTAATAACCCTTCTCCGGGTAAATATTTCTCGCCCTCCTTATTTCTCTCCTTCTTCGGGAATTACAATTGAAAGTAATCGAGAGGGTTCTCTTTTGACTGTGAATACACGCAATTTGCCAGTTGAAGATTAAGCGAATATTAAATGAGAACGTGATGAGAATATGATGAAGGGATGGAGATTAATAAAAAAGGAAAAGCAGGGTGGAAGAACGCGTTAATTACTGTTCATTCATAATCGCATCCGAGCATGTTTACGATTCAAATACTAAAAATAGAATCTTCGCTCGGCGAATTTATCTTCCTTCCTCATTTGCGGCGCTACGTCGTACCGGCGTATGCGAATTAGTATTCGGTAATGTGTTCTCTTATTATTTCTCCTTCGAATCGTAGTAATTTTGCCAATTAACCGTGTTCTCGTGCTCGGGATCCAATGGTGAGTCGGAAAAAGGAAAAAGGCGAAAGAGAGAGTGTTTCGCAGTTGAGGGAGAGCGGCCAACTTTATTCGTTTCTTTTCTGCAGGAACTATTAAGGGCGCCGTACCAATCTAAGTCGTCCCTCGTTTTCAGCAAGATTAAATTTCCAGGGTTAATCGTCCCGACGGACTCTTAATTCGTCGCCATGATTTGCCGTTCGTCCAGAACGCGTTTTCACTTCCAGTAGGAAAGCGTCTCGCTTCCGGTTAACGCGAACAGCATGAACCGGGACGTAAATAATTATATAAGACTTAAGAGAGAGAGAGAGTCGTCTCGTCGGAATCGTTCAGTTCGGGATCTAACGAATGAAACAGAAGGACCGTAAATTACTATCTTCGAACGACTGGATTCACTTCATTAAATGGATTTTCTCATGCTTCTAATCAAGGGAACGCCACCTTTTCGCCTCGCCATAGAAAATCTCTCTTTAGCTACAATTCACAGAACTTTGGTCAGTTGATCCACATTGTTAGCCAAATGCGTGGGAGATCGATTAATCAGTTTTTTATTCTTAATTTTAAAAACCTTTTTAGTTCCATAATTTTTACTACTTCATCTCTGTAATATCCCCCAAAGGGATTTCTGCTCGTCGAGTAATAACACATTGCCGCTTCCGCGCTTCCTCCCAGGTTCCCAATTTTCATTCAGGCACAATGTTCAGCTCTCGAATCCCGTGGAAAATTTACCGATTCTTGAACGGTCGAAAACCTTCAAAACCCTCTATTCCGAACCCCATTTTCCTCGCACCCTCCCTCCCTCTCTCTCTCTCTCTCGAAAATCGCAAATTTAACACATCATTTCATGTACGAGTCTGCTGTGTATAAAGATTGCCGAAGAAGGAATTTCCCCTCTCACGCCGTTTGACAATGACAGTCGATTTAAGGATTTGCTTGGACGAGCGTAGACGCCCCCTCCGAGACGCGAAGAGAAGAAAAACTTATCGAGGTAGAAACAGATACTTTCGAGAGGAAACCCAGGACGCGGCCGGGTCTGAGACTCAGTTTGAACCGAACAGTTTCCTCCCTTCCGTTATCAGGGACGGAGAGAAAGATACTCGATTTCAAGTGTCATTCAGGGCTAACAAAAGCGATTTCGCGTAAGGTTTTCTCAAACGAGTGGCCTAAGGTCACTTCACCGACGTCGCATCGGTCTTCAAGTATCTAATATCAAATCACTTTAATAATTGCTTCACTCTCTACGCGTATTGAACTCACATGACGAGACAATAGTTCTAGGTATAGTATCCACTGTTACATCAATAATAAAGGAAACGAAACGTCATAGGATAATTCTGTACACAGTTTGTATGTATGTAAACCTCATTTTACATTTTGGCAAAGGAAATTGTTGTTCAGGATGAGCCTCCCAATCTGCCATTTTCGGCTCTTACAACATTTCCGGAACACCGTGTATAATGAAATGTTTATCAAGATTTCCCAGAATTACTCTACATAGTCACATTTAAAAAGTTCAACAATACCTTTATAAAATACGTTTAGTAACAACTCGAGCAGGAAATGTATTATGAAACCGCAATTTAATAAAAGAAGAGGCAGCTACATCGGACTTCGGAGCCGCTCGATACTGTACATTCGCGTTCAGGTACTTATAGCGAACATTCAACAAGCATCGGCTACTTCTTTACTGTTCATCGATTATTTATCTCGTAACGACGATGGCTGTGACTGTTGCGCAACTTTGGGAACGTGCGACGTAAAAATGTCGTAGAATAGAATAGAAAATGGTCCCATTCATGAGTCGAATCGTCCCATTTCAAAACATGAAAACCCCGACGTACCAGCGGCCACCCTTAACCCATTTTCCACGACTTTGATATTCCGCTTTTCCATTCGCCATCAGCTACCGAATCTTTGAGCATTACGCGAATTCTGTACGCTTTAACCACTCGTGGAAAGCAACGAGATTATACAACGACGGCTGCATTATCGTCGTATGTATATTTATTAACGTCCGCCGTTTAAACCGACGCGATGCATCGCGTTGAAAAATCACCCATTCAAAATGGATGTACATGCGCGCTGAATTTAAAATGAAGTTTTATCTTTTTGAGATGTAAATGAGGATGTTACGTAATCTCAATTTAGATATTTAAATACAAGAGCAATTACTAATTAATTATTGAAGTATAGTTACAGGTAGACTCTTAACAAGTTTGAATTGTTCTATCACTTAATTATATATTTATATCATACAAAGAATAATAGTTTACTTTCACGAACTATTCATGGCAGTATATCCTTCGCGTTTTAGCATTTAAGTAGCCATCAACCCGCCCCGTTGATTTCCCCTTATTTGAGAGACAATACAGTGCCCATCTACTCAGCAAGACGAATACGGAGCCGTTTACCAAATTCCCCGGAACGATTGCACCCTCGGTGGTAGGTAGACAAACGCACACCCCCGTGATTTCCGGGGAACGAAAGTGAAAATCGATCGGAACACCGCCACGCGTCTGCGTGTTCATTGGCCCACTTTCTTCTTTTCTTCACATTTTTTTCTTCGACCGAGTGCTCTTCCTTTCCTCGGATAATCGACAGGCCGCCACTTTGGACGAAAAGTTGAAGAGGCCCTCCTCTATCGCCTCGAAAATGTCCTTCTTGTTCCCCATCCGAGGATCCACGGATCGGATCACCCGCGATTCTAGTCGAGTATGCACGAGCCAGTCAAGGTTTGAACGTCGAAAAACGAGAGACAGGCAAACGAGATCCCAACCCCCTTCGACGTTCGTGGACCTCTCTCATAATGAAGACCGATGACAACCGGGGCTTGGCCCGGAATCGAATGAAACGTCGTTCCGCGTCGCGTCGCCGTGCCGTGCCGTGGGGGTTGGC